TTTGTGTGTATTTGTCCCCCCCAAAGCCTCACACGGTCATTGAGATGCAGTTCTACAGTCTGTGATTAATTCAGGATCCAAGGCTGGGATTATGTGCCTGAGTCCTGCTGGGATTATGGGTGTGAGTGCTACACCCAGTGAGGGGCGCAAAGCCCGAGTGTAACAGAAGCGAGACAGACAGCTGCGCTCTACGCAGCCACCGCTGCTGCTACCCTCCCTTTGCTCTCTGCCCTTTGCCGCCTCCATGAAAGGCTGCGCTCTGTGTGTGCCTCTCTGCCTTGGAGCCAGCTGAGTGTGGACTGAAACCTCCAGTAACTGAGCTAAATAAACCTTCTCTTCCTTCATTTTGAGTGTCATGTATTTGTCCCAGCAACAAGAGAAGAGTAGGGCTGGCGAGATGGCTCAGTGGTCTAAAGCACCTACTTAGAACAAGCTTAGCAAAGCACAGGGACCGCGGTTCAATCCCCCAGCACCACATGCCAGCCAGCCCCGCCCCCTGGTGGGCTGAGATGGACACACACACACACACACACACACACACACACACACACTAAATAAAAAAACAAGAGAAGAGTAACTGAGACAATCCCTAAATTGTCCAAACTGGGCTCAAACCTATACTCCTCCTGCCTCAGCCTCCCACACTGCTGGAATTACAGCCATGTGTCACCACGCCAGCGACCTCAACCACGTGGAAATGTGCTCGATCACGTGAGGTACTTCCACACTGCAGTGCAAGCAACTGCACGCTCTTTTGGTCTTGTCATTTGCAGATCTGGCGGTGGCTGCCCCAGACAGACCCTTCCCATCACTCCAGGCCCCTATCCTCAGCCCAGCCTAGCCCAGGTCATAAATCACTGCTCCGGAGGGACTGCGGCCCAGGTCCTGGCGTCCTGGAGGAGAGCAGCCCATCCTCCGGGCATGGCAGTTCACGTTTCTGGAGACCCAGCAGTGGGTCAACCAGGACTTCAGGTAGCCCTCAGCTGGAGTCCTGGCAGACCCTTGCAGTCTGTGCTCTCCGCCCCAGGACAGGCACCCGCCGAGTCCTGGCAGCCTCCACCCCCACCCCGGAGCCTGCCTGGGGGTGCCCAGCTCTGAGCAGGGAGTTTGCTCCCCAGCTGTGGTGACTCAAGGTGGGCAGTCCAGGGCCTAGAGCCTATGTTCGCCCTAGGGTGAGAGGACCAGGGAGCATGGGTCCTGCTTCTGGACAATGACCACCACTGAGTCTCAGGTGCCAACCATCTTCGAGTGAGTGGCAGGAGGCAATGTGGGCACCCGACACAGCAGGTTCCTGGTCAGGTCTGAATCCTCCGACGCCCTTTCTCCAACACCGCCCCACTCTTCTCCCTCAGGCTGAGGTCTGGCCCAGCTCCAGGAGGACAGAGAGGATGGGAGGACTGGGTGGGAGGCGGGCAGGAGGGCAGGTCATAGCCGTGGAGCCACACACAGCGCCAGGTCCTTCTCTGAGTGATGCGACTAATCCTCCCAATGACTTGTCCTGATTCACTAACCCAAGAACCAAGGATGTAGAGAGGTCACCAGGAAGGTGTGAACCTAGGGATTCAGGGCAAGGGCTGTTTCTGTTTCCCTCCTCCTGGCTAAAAGCAGCCACGAAGATGCTTTGTGGCCAACCACGGGCTGGGGGTAGCACGGCCAGGTGTCAGCCTGGGAAGGGAAGGGGCTGCTGCTCCCCTGGGGCTTCGCTGGCTGAACCCGGTGTAGAAGCAGTGAAGAGGAGAAAGCTCAGTAACTGCAAGGTGTGCGTGGGCTCCCACAGCCTGGGCGATAGGAGCTAGAGAGGTGTAGGGGGCTTCTCTCCCTAGAAGCGGCCATCACTCAGTTGTGGGAGGGGAAGACAGAGCAGGTGGTGGACCCTGCAGGTTTTATAGGCAGAAAGAATGCTTTCCAGGCTATGTGAGCGGCCTGAGGTAGCCCTTAGGAGAACAGGTGACACTAGGTTTGGCCTCTGGACAGGAGTCCCAGGGATGGGCGCCAGTGGTTGTGAGGCTCAGGTAAGGGAAGCTCAGAAAAAGACAGGTCCACAAGACTGCTCCCCACAGCGCCCATGGCAAAGGAACCCGCACGCCCACAGTGGCATACTTGTGGATGGGGTTTCCTGAACCCCTCAGAGGCACAGGGCTCATGTGGCATGGACGGGGCTCCAGTTCCGTGTGTTCAGGTCTGGCCACCTCCCGGGGTGACAGACAGGTGACCACAGCCGCTGTGGTGAGGGAAAGGGACACAGCGCCAGCCAGCCAGCAGAGGGGTAGCTGATTGGCCCTGAAAGTTAGAGTAGCCAGAAGCCTTCTTATGCAGAGGATGGCAGGAGCCAGGGCAGAGATGCCCCGAAGCAGTGGGGCGGCTGGGCTTGCAGGAGTCGCAGGACCAGTCCCACGGCCGGACTCCGCCTGTCAGGCAGCTGTGAGCGGACACACGTGGGCTGCAGGCTTCCCCTGGGGAGAGCGGGGGACAAGTGGGCGGCAGGGAGCCCAGGGTGGTGTTGCAATGATTAAGAAGAAAGGCAGGGAGGCCAGAGGAAGTAGCCAGAGATGGGGAAATCCGCACAGTCCTGGGTGGCAGGGATTGCAGTCCTGTGCAGGCAGCGCGCATGCACAAAGCACACCAGGGAGAGAGGCCCGAAACAATCGGATAAGCTTTGTGTCCTTCCTGTTCACGTGGGTTTTGAGACAGCGTCTCACTATGTGGTCCAGGCTGGCCTCAACTCTCAACAATCCGCCTTCCTCAGCCTCCCGGGTGCTGGGATGACAGCTGCGCCTCCCTCTCATCAGAGAACTTCTCTCCAAGACGAGTCAGCTCTGCAGAGCACCGTGGCGACACGCTCCTCCAGGCCTGCGGCCACCCCCCACCTCCAGGGGTCATCCAGCCCCCACCACATCACTGCGCCCCAAAGTCCTGCTGGGTACCTACACCCGGAGGCCCGCAGGCAAGGACAGGTTTTCCCATCCCTTCAGTATACCACCTCTGCCTGACCCTCCCCACCCGCGGCGACCGGAAGGTGTCTTGCCCTGGATACGCCCTCGGCCTCTGCTGTGAGGAGCCCCTTCCCGACTTTTCCCGAGAGCCACTCCAAGGCACACAGCCCAATGGCACTGAGCTCAAGCAGTGTTGTGCAACCCCCTCTGGCTGGGTCCAAAACATTTTCTATTCCGAAATGAAACCCCATCCCCATTAAGCAATCATTCCTCATTCTCTCTCCCCACAGCCTCTGGCGCTAACCTGTTTTCTCTGTGGTCGTGCCTATGTGCTGGAGTCAGTGCACACGTGGCCTCCTGTGTCTGGTGCCTTGCCCTTGGCAGAAGTTCTAGAGATTTGTACCTGTTGTAGTATGATTTTGTGCTCTGGTCCTCATCATAGCTGAATAATATTCCACCGGATGGATCGTCCGCTTATCCATTCATCAGCCGTTGGCCTATTCGGCCTGTGCCCACTTTTTGCCTATTAAGTCCAGGACTGTGCTGAACATTCTAATACAAACACATGTCTGAGTATTCAATTCTCTGGGGTATATACCTAGGGGTGGAATTGCCCGGTCATACCATAACTCCAAGTTTAACTTTATAAGGCTGAAACAGAATTTCAACTTTCCCCCTCCCGCCCCCGCTTGAATGTGAACACCTCCGGGCTGTTCCACGTTTTCCAGCTCTTCCTCTTGTCTTACCCCCAGTCCCGCACAGTACTCAAGGGCCCCTGCTAACCAGCTGGAGACGAGGATAAATCTC